GTTGATTTTCAACAACTGTGTAGAACGTGTGGTGGTTAGATTGGTATAGTTAGCTTATTCATCATTACAATATGCAATCATTCTTTGTGTCCATTGACCAATATTTGAGCTAATATTCATCATTAACAAATTTTATACTTTTACTAGGGATATCCTACCTTGCTTGGTAATGAGAAAAATGCAAATTCAGCAGCAATGAGTTACCATTTTTTTACATTCATGGTGATACATACTTTATTAAAAAACAATAGCCAGCAAATGTGAGGAAAAAGACTTTTCATACAGTGTTGGTAAATGAAATTGGTAAATCCTTTTTGAAGGGTAATTTAGTAGCATGTATCAAAATGTCAAATACAGTACATCATCCCTGTATCCTAATAGCTTCACTTATGAGCCTAGATCCTACAGGAAAACACCACTTGTGGAAACACATACACACACATGTTACAGGCATTTATTATATATTATATATAAAATGCAATAGGTCTGTATATGTAATATATATAGGGTATATAATATATGTATGTTAAGGCTATTTATTATACCATTGTTGTATCAAAAAGTTGGACATACTCCAAATACCCATCAATAAGGAAGTAAATTGTCATACCCTTAAAGTAATGAGGTATGCAGCCATTAAAAAAAAAATAAGATCTATATGTATTCATTATTCCACAATTAAAGTATATTTAAAGCATTTAGTGTGATGATGCATCTCAAGCAAATTTTGTTAGTATAGTTGTAGTAACTGCTGAGTTTTAAAAGGAAACTACATGCTTCACTGACCTTCCACCTTTTACCAACATAATTGCTAGTTATTGGATTCTCGTTTTTTTGTTCCCAATGCATAAGTGTTCCAGTATTGGACACTCAATCTGAATGTTGCAAAGGGACTGCACATGGGGTCCATACTCCATATAAACATTTCACTGTATTGGGCAAAACCTACTAAAACACATCAAAAGATATTTGATCTACTAAACCAGGGATTGGCAAACTTTTTCTGTCAAGAGGCAGATAGTAAATATTTTATGGTTTGTGGACCATAAGGTCTCTGTTCTTACAGTCTGTAATCTTTCATAGAGAATAAGTAAATAGACATGGATGTGTTCTAATAAAACTTTATTTACAATAACAGACAGTGGGCTGACTTTGCTCTACAGGCACTAGTTTGCTGACCCCTGTGCTATAACCAAGGTGCTGCTAATGCAGTAAATCTTCTTTTTAAAGATACCCTGATGCATACCATTGTCCTTCCTTTTTAAAGATAATACATTTCTCTACACACCACACGATATGTTTCAACAAGTGACCTCATATTATACAATTTACAAAAATTCAATTTATGAAATATTTATTTTCTGCCTTTCTCCCTTTTAGTCCTTTTATAGAATTCAGTATTTTAATATGACTAATTACTTTGTGTATTTGACTAGTATAAAATATCCTAGAGTTCGATGATTTTTATTGAGCAAGACATACTGCCCTTGAAACTTTTCATTCTTTCTGTGGTCTGTTTTTATAAGCATGAGCAAAATGATAATCACCTTATATAATTTATATAATATACAACTAGGATATTTTCAAGCATACAAACATACTACATAATCATTATGCAAGGACTGAAAATACAGTTAAACAAGGAGAAAATTACATCTTCTGTGATCGTGTCAGGTCACTATGATGTCCTTGAAAGAAATGTCTCTACTCACTGATTCACTCTTCCTTCCATTCACTCTTGAACTCACTCCAGTAATTTTCACTCACATCACTCTTCCAAAATTGTTTTTCTCAAAGTTACCAGTGATTTTCCCTTTAATAAACCTAGGCATAATTTCTTAGATCTCATTTTGCTTCACCTGTCAGCAATATTTGGCCCAATAGAAAACTCTTCCGAAACACTTTCCTCACTTGGCTTTGAGGATATCAGTCGCTCACCTGGTTTCCCCCTACTTTTGTAGTCCGTCCATCCGAGTCTGCTTATGTCTCCTCATCTTCCACCTTTGACACATTGACGTTTCCCAGGGCTCATTCTTTGATTTTCTTTGTCATGACGTTTACTACCTTGTATGTGCTGTTGATTTCCAAATTTATAATTCCAGATCTTTCTTTTTAATTTCAGACCTGTATGTCAGACTGCCTACTTGACATCTCTCTTTGGTTAGCAACTGGGTATTACAAACATAACAGGTCCAAAACTTAGCTACTGATGTTCTTCTTCATACGTGCCCCTCATGTAGTCTTTCTGCTTGAGTTAATGGCAGCTCTTCCAGTTTCTCTGTAAAAACCTTGGTATCATCCTTGACTCATCCCTCCTTCCTACACCTCACGTCTAATCTGTCAGCAAATCTGGTCAGGTCTACCCTCAGAATATATCCAGAAGGCAGTCACAGCTTGCATGTGCAAGCCAGCATCGTCTGCTGTCTAGATGAGCATAACAGGCTTCTGAGTGGTTGTCCTGTGTCTTTTTTATTTATTTATTATTTAATTAACTAATTAATT